GAAATATCTTTTTACAAATAGTTTTACTTAAATGTAAGGGAAGGGTTTATCTCGCCTTTTCTGTGTGTATTCATTCTGTTACCCTTTTTATTTCTTAGCTTCTATTTTTAATCCAAAATTAAGTTATTGATAATTTTACATATTTAAAAAAAAAGAAAAATTAAGAATTCATATGTTTCTGAGGTATTCTGAATGTGACGGTCTGATGATTAGCTGAAGTATTTTTCATTCAATTTAGGGGAAACTTATTACCCCATCTCACTATAAGGATGCTGTGGATGAGCGGTCTATCATCAAACTGTGTGGCTATCCCTTATGTCAAAATAAGCTAGAACATGTAAGTTCCTTTTCACTGCTGTTTTAATTTTTATGAGCTCTTGTGCCGTTCTTTATTCTCTTGCTTTCTCTTTGTCATTCTGATACTATAAACAGGAATTTTTCATTCTATTTTGCTCTTAGGGCATATGGTCCAGTTAACCAACCACCTGCCAAAAAATAATTCTTTGGAAAATGTTTGAATTTGATCAATTGAAGACTATAACTGCATGATTGAATCCTTTGTCATGCCCTTACATTTCTGAAGAGTAATGTAGATGAAACACTGGATGTGTAACCTCTGTTTATGCAACAGGAAAAGTTCTAATGGTCTGTTTCCTCAATGCAAATACCTAGTGAAGGGACATTCTAAGTAGAAAAATACTTTTTTTTTCTTCAGATCTATTTTATAACTTTGTCATTTTTCATCTGCATGGAGCATGTGGGTCTACAGAAAGCATAAATAAGATATGTTCAGCAAGGTCTGAAGTCCACTCATATAAGTGTTGAAGTAATGCCAAATGCTTTACAGTGGATTATCTGGCTAAATCTGTTTAATGCCTGTATTATAAGTGGAAAATAAAACCTCCTAATTTTTAAATATAACAATGCTTTCAGTCCTTAACCTTGACTCTATAATTAAATAATTTCCCATGATATTTGGAATCTGACATCTAGCTCTACTGTTACTGGAGTTGAAGCTCCCCTTTATGCTTAAAGCACAGTTGGAAAACATAACTAGCTAGCCTTCCTTAGGCAAACAGTTTCAGGTCTGTCAACAGTATGAATCATGGTAATTTTGTGTTGCCAGCATGATCAGGTAAACAAAGATATGATGTGTCATCTTAACTAATGCAAAGTAATTGTTTTACATATTTCTAGGGTCTTACATTCAATATTAAAGTTAATTCTATAAAAATATCTAAACTTTATTTTCAGCACTTAGTTTTGATTACCTTTAATAGAAAAGTCTGTTTTATGTTCTTGAAGATGTAATTCCTGTTACATTTTTTCAGTACTTCATTTAAACCAGGCTTGTCCAACATACGGGCTGCTGTGCAGCCCGCCAAGCCGTTTTCTGTGGCCCGCGGTGCTGCTACGGGAAACGAAAGTAAACACTTTCGGGGGAAAGTGCAGCTGAGCCCCTGCTTCTCTGGCTGGGCTCATCCTGAGGTTCATTTCATGTTTGTAAAATGCTTGGAGAGCCCCACAGATGCACTGCATAGAAATGCAAAATATATTTTGACTTATTTGGTTGGCACCTTGGGCTGAGATTTTCAAAGCTGAGTCAAAAGGCCAACTTCCTTTAAAATGAATGGGATTTAGAGGGCTCCAAATCTTTTATGACAACTGTGTAACATGCCTATCTACCCCTTTTTGCAAATCTCAGCCATAGTTTGGAAGCTCAGCCAAAGAACGTAAGAGCTTCTGAACATAAGAGTGCCATGCTTGGTCAGCCCCATGGTCCATCTAGCTCAGTATCCTGTCCCGAACAGTAGCAGAGGTGAATGCTATAGAGGGAGAGTTTTGAACTGGTTATTTAGACCCATTTCATTGTCATTTCCTGCAACTTCATTGGTGTCAAAGGTCACGTGACATCACTTCCTGATGTGATACCACTTCCTGTGAGGTCTTTGAATATGGCTCGCCGGCCCACTGGGTGATTAAAAAGTTCGTGATCCGGCCCCACATTCAAAAAGGTTGGACATCCCTGATTTAAACTGATTCCAAATGAACAGATTGAAAGAGGGTCTTGAGGAACACAGAGGGAAGCATCTTGTGTAAGTAGTCTTACTTCCTACACCAGATGAGGCATCAGAAACCTTTATTATCGGTCTGCTTAGGATTCTGCAAAGAGCTGTGGGTTGGGTTATGTGTGATGAGGGTGGGATTCTTGTTTATGGTCCTTTTTATGGTCTTACAGATATTAAACTGCTTTTTGTATTGTTTTTCCATTGGCTTACATATCCTATGGAGTACAGTATTATGACAATCTAAAGTCTCCTGTTAGAAGTGATACATATATAAAATTAGTTGCCTACTTCAGTCACCTCATGTGGTTTTAAAACTATTTTATTGATGTAAATGTATCCTTTTCAGGTGGCCAAACAGAAGTATAGAATTTCAACAAAAACAAACAAAGTTTATGACATCACTGAAAGGAAGGTATGCAAATGTTTTTTGATTTTGTCCCAAGATTCCTAAACTTCCTTTTTTTGCAGTGGCATTCATATCACGGAGATGTGATTAGCTATGTTAGTCTGAAGTTAAGAAGATGATAGGGGAGGGTGGCACTAGAGATTAACTAAAGACTACCTTTTGCCACTCATAAAGCAGTAAATGATACAGGATTCACCCTATTAAGTCCTATTAATATCAAGGGCATTCAGAATCTTAACAGGAGACGTAAATCATTTTGCAGGACAATCTATTTATTATTACACTTTTCTCCCTTCTGCTTTTTAAGATCTTCAATATATTATTTAGTTCCTCAGGAACTAAACAGTTTTAAAGCATATTTTCTATGTGCTATGGAACAGGCATGTTAATTGCAGGAGTTTCAGGAATATTCTGAGCTTGCAGAGATGCAAAGCAGAGGGAAAGACCCATAAGACCCATAAATTCATATTTTTTTCTTAGAGCTATGATTTACCTCTCCTCCTAGAAAAGTAAGCCATGCTATCTAAAGAGCACAAGATTTAGTGTAGCAGCAATGCCCAGCTCATTTTTCACAGTGCTTTTATAAGAGGTGGCAATGCCAGGTGTGAAGTGAACCAGTGATTCCCTTTGTTATGTAACATTAAAATCATTTGCTTAGGTTTTCAGGATGAGCACAAAATATTGTAAAGCAAGCTGTATAACCTGTGTTTCACAACAAAATTAGGGCAAATATTTTTTTCTAAATATGAAGACACAATGGTTTATATAAACCCAAAGAAACCCATGAAATTCTCATGTTAAAGGAAAGGTCTGTAGTTTCTCTAGGGCATAGCCTTTGATTTAAATAGCACTGTAGTAGGCTCATAAGACTAGGTTGACTTCTGGGTTCAATGTCTGTGGTTCAGTAAGAATGTTTTAATGCTTTTAGTAACAATGTAAATATGTTAATTTATCTTGGTTACAGTCCTGCAGATATAAAAAGAGGTATGAATAGCTATTGCCTAAATCTCAAATAATATGATATAAAGCAGTGGAATAAGCAGGCAGCTAGTTTTACTTTGTATTACGGTACATGTTACCTGATAGGATCCAATTAGGCAAAGTTTGTTTTTCTGATATTGTGAAACTATGTAATCAGAATTAAACACCAAACAAAATTACAACCAAAAAATAGGTGTGTATCTGAATGATGCCTTTAAACTGTACAGTAACCTCCTTGGGGCAGCGATTGTGCTTTTGTCTGTATAATGTAGGTTTTCTGGGCTTTTACGTAGAACAAAACCTATTCTCAATGCATACTAAATTGGCATGTATTACTAGAAGGCCTGCAAAGCTAGGAGGTTGTTTCTTTCAAGGAGATAAGTTATTTTTGAATGATGAATCATTTTACAAGACACTCAACTTGGTTGGGTAGAACCCTCTTTTATAGATTTTTAATTGTGATATATAAATTGTTATGTAAGAAGTGAACCCATTTTATTTCATAAAAATAAAGATGCTGTAATAATCACATTTTCCCCAGTGTTTTTGCAGCAATTTTTGTTACAGAGCATCTAAATATTTTGAAGCTCAAATTTCCAAATGTCCAGTGTGGATGCGAGAAGAAGAAAGGTAATTGTACCCTTGACTTCCTACATTCTGCTGACTTATAAGATTATGATTCTAAATTGTCTAAGGACAGGCAGGCTTATAACAGGGTAAGAAAATGTAAAATGAATATATCAAGACTAAAGAAAATATAAAATGTTAATAAAAACGTTTTAAATGTATTATATATTTAAATGGAGGGGGCAGATCAAGGCCCCTGTGGTGAGAGAGGGAGTGGGCCTGGGGCAGGTGCTGCCTAGACAGAGTAGGGTTCAGGATGGAGCCACGAGTGGCTCGTCCAGGGGGCCCAGGGTGTGGGGTTTGGCTCCCATTGCTGCATGCACCCCCAGGGGATGCATCGGGGTGTGTGCCCCCCAATCTGTGCATGGGGCAAGAGCAGGCTGCAGCTGCAGGCAGAGGCTGGGGACAGTGCCCCTGGTGGTGGGGAGGGGAGAGGGCTGGGCCAGGGTTGTGCTTGAGGTGGGCAGCAGCAGTGCTGGGGGGAAGGGGGGGGTCCAGAGTGGTAGCCCCCCCTCCTAGCATTGCCACCACCTCCTGGCATGAGGGCACCCCTGGCAGCCCCCCACTGGTGTGCAGCCCTGGCAGCCCCCCGGCACCAGCCTCAGCCCATAGTGGCAACCCGCCCTTGCCACACATACAGGTCGGAGGGCACATGCCCCCATGTCTCCCTCGGGGGTTCACACAGCAGCGGGAGCCACCCCTCCCTGCGCCCCCTGGACAAGCTGCTTATGGCTCCATCCCGCACCCCACCCCAGCTGGGCAGCACCTGCCCCATCCCCACTCCCTCCCTCACCTCAGGGGCCTCAATCTGCTCCCCTCACCCCTTCCTCCACAACAGACTTAGCAGTTGGATGCTGCTTTCCAAGCTGCCGGGCTGCATATCAGCAATCAGATCAGTATCAGTCAATATGGCTCATTAATAATCAGCCATTGGTACTGGCCCAAAAAATCTCTATTGGTGCACCCCCTACAAGCCAGTTGACAGTTAACAGAATTGTTCCCAGTCTAAACTGGGAAGTTAAGTAACTGCAACTCCTCTTAATTTCAAAGTATTCTGCTTAGCATTTGATTTTTTTGGATAAGATATGCTAACTGACAAGATTAATTCATTTTATCTTATTACGGGAACTGTTTTAATCTTAGCATAGTACTGACATAGGATTTGAAGTTAAACTTTACAAATATGCCTTTTAACCCAGAATATAAAACTGTAAAAATAAAGTCTCAACTCCACTCACCACATGCCCCAGTGCCTCCACCCCCTCTGTGCTTCATGTCCCCCTCCTGCAGTGCACATCCCAGTGCTCCCACTCATGCTACACCATGCATTTTACCATTGCACCATGTGCCCCAGTGGCAGCTCCTACTGCATTGGGCATCCCCTCTCACCCTCAGCTGTCTGGCCACAGGCTCTTCCACTGCACCATCTCTCTTGGGCATCTGGGTCACTGGATACCCCAGTACTACAGGCTGAGCCTCACTGACTTGCCCCCTGAAGCAGGGAAAATGAAGCTGGAAGAAGGGGGAGTCCAGAGGCCCCAACTTCTGCAGTCAGAACAGCATCTGGGTGGGAGCCCAAGGATCACAATTTAACCCCAGTGGGCCAGATGCAACCCACGGGCCAGCACTTGGACATTCTTTTTTAAACAACAGGCAAAATGAACAATGTGCGTTTTGGAGGGGTGCAATCTCATTGTTCTTTGTAAACTCATTGTCTGGGTAGAAAAATAAAAGTACTTGCACTTAACCGTATAAACCACTGGATGTCACTGTTTTTAAATACAAATATCTGGACCTTGTAAACTTGTCTAACTTGATTCAAGTTCGGTTCAAAAATGTTTTCCAGGACACTGGCTTCCCTAATCCCCTATAGGAATTAAGCCATAGCTCTAAATAGAGGGAAAAACTTTAATTAAATTGCAAATTGAGTTTCTGTCAAAGTACAGTAATAGAAATATATGATCTTTGAATGAAGAATGGCAAAATAACGACTGTAGTATCCAAAAATAAAATCTTAATAAAATAATGCTACAAAAACATTGGGAAGTTTACTTTTCTGTCTTCTGAGAGAAATTTTGGAAAATATTCCATTAGTTTCATTAACATCACTCTATACCAGGAGTGTCAAACATACAAACCACAGAGGTGTATAATCCAGCCTTTGGGTCACTGGACTGATCTGGCACACCAACCCTGACCCCATGCACTGCATGGGGCATGTGGGCTGGACCTGGCATCATGCAACCTGCATGCTGGCTCCAGGGCCTGTCTGGTTCAGTCTTCTCTGGAGCTAGCACAGGGGCTTGGTTTGGCAGGGTACTGCATGCCAGTCCAGCCCTGCACGTCACAAGGAGCATGTACTGCCCCTGAGGCTCACTGTGCACATGGCAGATGGGGCCAGCACTGGCCATGCACTGCCTATGGCATGTGGGCTGGACCTGGCACTGCACATGGCACAAGGGGTCTGGGGCTTGAGCTGCATGCAGCATCCCCAGACCATGTCCCAGGGCCAACACATGCTACATGCATGTGGACATTGTGCAGGGGGTCAATCCTAGTCTGGCCTACAGATCAGTCCAGCAACCTTTATCTGGCCAATGGGGCTGGATGAATTTGACACCCTGCTATATAGCGTTTCAGTACCTGTCAGAGCTACCTAATACTTCTCTAGGCCAGGTATTCCTAAAGTTTTGTTTGTGGAGAGCCCCTTAACCAGTGGGACATTGCAGTGGGACTTAATAAAATGGATATGCAATACAGTAACTTTGTTCAATAGATGTAACATAATACACCTTACATATACAAAGGAGAATCCAGTGTCCTTGTTTGAATGGGATTTGTGCATCTGACTCATGTCAATAATTGAGTGAAAAGCTAATAGTGATATTTCATTAACAAACCACCACTACTCTGTGTGTGTGTGTGTGTGTGTGTGTGTGTGTGTGTGTGTGTGTGTGTGTGTGTGCATGCATGTATTCATAAATGCATTGAGAGCACTGATATAATTGGCATACTACAGCATTACACAGATTGTCAAGCATAGTTTAAAATGTGTCAGACCAACTCGCGTAACTAAGCATCACCCAAAACATTTGACATGTCAGTATCTATACAGGGGATGGTGGGCGGGGGTTAGTTTTAACTTACCCATTACAGCCTGCATGTTGAAAACCTCTGATCTAGCCTGTAAGCTCTTCCAGTCTGGGACTCTCATTATTTGTTTATAATAGAACTGTTGGTTCTGGATGTCAGTGTATTAAGCATATCTCTGAAACCCTTTCCAGAGTAAAAAATAAACCTCTCGTTGAGAATGTTTCAGTGATACTGCAATAGAAATAATAAATGCCTCTGTTGATAGTGCATAAACAAATCAAGAAGCAAGCTCATTTTAAATCTTGAGAGTATTTCTAAAAGCAGGATAATGTTTTTGTTTTGTTTTTAAACAAATTATTTATAAACATATAGGTTATATTGCCTGCAATACTTTAAAATAATAGGTGGTTAAAAAACAAAGTTTTGGTTTTGGTTTTCTTTTCTTTTTTTTAATATTTCTGGGGTTTCTCCAAAAAAAAAGTCCCAAATCATTTCTATGGTGGCAATCCTATTCAAGATCAGTATGGTCATGCAACGTTTATTGCATAAATTGTGTGCGTGTTTCTTGGATGTAGTGGGGTTGTTCATGGAAATACATTTACACAGGTGGGTGTTTGCAGAGTTGGGCAGTATACTAAACCCTGAGCCATTTTGTTTGTATGTAATTAGTAGTTTAAAATATCCGTTATTATCATTCTTTGAAACCTTTTTTTTTTGTAAGCCTTTATCTTTGTGGGTTGTTTTTGCAGACCACCAGACATAGAGCTGCTAAAGAAAGGGCAAAGGTACAGTTGAATCAGTTATTCTCGCACATAAATTTTCCAACTGAATATATTAAAAGCAAACCAGATGAAAGGGAAATCTTTGATTTCCTGTTTTTCTGCATTATACAAGGTACCATTATTGCAGCCCATGCACAGGAATATTTGCCTTATTTAGCTTTTTCCTTTGTGAGTCTATATTAGCATATTTGATCTGTATGATTTAGCGTACAGCTGCTCATAGCCTACAAGTCTTAATTGAACCTGTTGAAATCTGACACAAAAACAATGTTTGTACTTGCATATTTTGTGCCATTCATTCTTTATAAACTAAATGCTACCAATTTTGTGTGTTGAAAGCTGGTGTAAGCCTTAATATAAAATACGTATTCGAGTTATACTACTTTTGTTTCCTCTCCCTTCTTGCATGCAGTTCTGTAAATTGTGATTTACTTTTTTGTTTTTCATTTGTAATATTTGGCCAGTAGGGGGCAAACTCGCATGCACTTGTAAAAACAATTAGCCTGCTAGCCCTTTGCTGTTAACTAACATACAACATTTTAGTCACACCATAATAAAATTAGCTTAAGTTGCCCATGTTCAATTGAAAATTTAAATTTTAGTAGCTTAGACTTAATGCTGTTTACTAATTCTAAATATTTTCAGAGCAAACATTTTGTTTTCCTTTTCTCTTTCTTATCTCCAACTGCAACAGTTTGGAATTTGTTTGAGGATTTTTTTTAATTTGCAAAATAAGATGCGTTTTATGTAGTAGCTATATATCCATATTTGCAATCTTAATTATTAAACACTAAATCTGTCTCTCAGAAAACTTCTAGAAAGCAAAACTTATATAGGTACAATCCTAATGCTCTATTTATTAACATTAAGTAAAATCATGTGCCAATCCTAAAAACAAAACTCATTAATTTTTAATGTACATGTAAATCAAAACCTATTTATACCTAACATACGTTACTGACAGTCTGTTTCTTTTGACACAGTGGCCAGTCTGGGGAAGAAGTAAAACTCCGTGATGAAGTCATTAAAGTCTCAGACATTGAAAACCCTATGCTATCAAGCCAGTGTGAATCTGGCTCCCCTAGCATACACAGTGACAGCAGCAGTGATACTGAACTTGAATTTGTTTCCTCTATTCTACCAAGAAATCAATCGGGCACACCCAGTGGGACACGGATATCTCAAAAAAGTATACTCAGCAAGAAGCATGATCAGGAAGTATATTCCAAGCCTGGAGGTGAAGATTCTGGAGTGATAGAGGCCACAGAACAATTGAGTACATGTAAATTAGATTCCCTGGAAAAAAAGAGTACTTGTTCAGTTAGGTTTCAAAATAAACTAACTGATATTTCTTCAAAGAATGTTATGCTTGAAAATGGAAATATTTCAGAAAGCTGTGAAAACAGCTGTAATAGTTCACATGTAGTGTTTCTAGGTGTGAGCAAAAAGGGGGCAGAGCAACTTAAAAGAATACTTACTAAATCAAAGCAGCATATCAAACCTACATTGAGACCAGTTAATTCCCTTGCTGCTAAAGGCAATTTATTAGAAGTTCTTAAGCAAACTTTTATTGAATGGAGGACTGGCGAAACCTTAACATTTCTCTATGGTTCAAAATATGTTCCTGTATGCTTACCAGAACACACGTTAGCTGTTGCCTGTGAGAGAGAAGAACTTGATGAGGATGACATAGAGACAGCTGATGACCTTAATGATACCACTATGTGGAAATCTAAAAACACACTGCCTTTTGCAAGCTCAGATGGAGTTGTTAAACCTTTGCCTAGTTACAAAAAGTTAAAAGAAGAAACTCAGCTATTAGAACTAAGAGTAAAAGAGTTCTATAAAGGAAAGTACATCTTGGCTGAAGAAACAGCAGCAGAAGTTCACGAGGAGGAATATTTTAGCAGCCATAAAGTAAGTGCACCAAAAAATAATGGGCTGCGTAAAATCCTACCTTTCAAAAATATTGGTAAGCTGTTGGGAACCATAAGTATGTACAGCTCCTAACACAGTAGGGTGCTTACCTAGATAGTTTCTAGATATTCCTCCAGGAGAAATGTTGAAGAATAATTATAAGGTTGCTCATATCTGAAACGATGTCTCAATTTGTATGACTAAAAAATTTTAAATGAATTCCTGTGATTATCCAGTGCATCTACATGTGCAGTTAATGCAGAGGAATAAACCAGTGCTTGTTGAGCCAGTTTATTGCTCCCAGGCGTGCCATTTGAATGTGTGCCTGGGACTGCAGTATGTTGAGCTGGTTGGAGCAGCCCTGGCTATCCAGGAGCCTGAAAGCTCAGCCTGCCAGCCTGGGGCTGCTCCGACTTGGCTCATTGTGCCCTGGAGGGGCTGGCTTGGGGCACTAGGGTATTCCAGTGTGGGGCTAGCTGGCAGGCCGCCCTCACACTGAAGTATTGTCATGCCCCAGCCAGCTGGGTCAGTGTCTACACATTGCCTGCTGCACATGAAAAAACTCAGCAGCAGGATAGTACTTGTAAATGCTTGTATTTCCAAGTACTGTCCTGCATCAGAGTTTCTTATTTTCCTGTGGCCTACTAGAGCGACATGCTCCACAATAAACATCTCGTGTATACCCGCCCATTCAGTTTCAGCAGCTTCCGGCCAGGTGATTTTGTCATAAATTAATTGGTGGTTTGAGCAGCCTGAATGTTTTATGAGGCACAAAGAAAGAACCTCTAAACTAAACTGAACTAAGAATATAAAGATCTAGGTTAGTAATATCTGGTCTTTGTAAAGGTGCCTAAAAGGAAAGAAAGGTTAAAGACCTGCAAAGACAAATTACAATGCTACTTCACACAACTTTACATCTCTTCTTATCTCGGTGTGCTGATAGGAAAGTTTATAGGCTCCAAAACGTGCAAAGCCAGGTAAAGTTTTGGCTTCCTAAGTGTGCTACACCAGCTGAACATGCCCAATTCTTTTGCTTTCCTCCTGATTGTGACAGTACTCTGGTGGACTAGATACTTTGTATTGGTGTATGATTTAGTTTCAGGAAATTATTGATATGAAAAGGAATAATATTGTAAATGTTCCTTTTTATAAAACAGAGGTACCGCAGCCTGTTTTAAAGTGTGAGGTTAGTCAGGCTTGGATATTTTCACTTGGAGTTCTCAGGAAAGTTATCATTAGTTTTAATAACGCACCAAATACAGTTTTATTTCTGAAGAAAATAAAAAATGGATTTTTAGGCAAATTGCACTGAAAGCCTATTTAATTCTTTGGTGTTTAGGAGCCCACTGAAATTTCCAGAACATTGAAGCTGGATCATTATCTTAAAGCAATGATTCTCAACTTTTTTAGTTTCAAGGCACCCCTCCATAACTTCTGAATTTAATGGCACCCATTTTGACAGCCACTGTTTTACTGCCTGAGCTTACCTCAGTGGTTCTCAGATGGGTTACTGCTGGTGCAGCCAGATCAAACTGCCCCTGAGCACCTTGTGCAAAACCAGATCAGGAAGCACCTGCAGCAGGAGTGGGTGCTCTTGCCTGCGTATAGGTTTATCTGATAACCTAATGCAGGCAGGAGTGCCCACTCTTGCCACAGCCCTTTCCAGGCCACCCCCACATGCTCTTCCTGGAAACAGAGGCTCCTTCAAAAACAGGGCAATTCCATATGGCAGTGGAAGTGACACAGCAGTAGTCTGGAAAAATATAGAAAACACGCAGATACACCTCCAGACTGCCACAGTAATGCCACATCACCAGGATGAAACTGTTCCACATGCCTGTTTCTAGGAGGAGTATGCAGGACTGGACCAGGAAGAGCTGCAGCCTGCATTTAATTTAGCTGATAAATGCAATGCAAGCAAAATTTAAACAGCTTCTACTGCAGCTGCTTCCCAGTCTGGCTTCACATCAGGCTATGGGGCAGTTTCACATGGCACTGATGGCACCTGCATTGTGACACCCTTTAAAAGGGTGTCATGGCACCCCAGCTGAACCACCGTTGTAAAGTTTAACCCTTTTCAGCTTCAGGAGTGTTCTTTAGTTTGAAGTAACCAAGCACTTACTGCATTTTAGTCTGTTTAGAAACAGTAAATGTTAACTACAAGAAAGTGTGCACTAGTATTCATTCATGGTGTTATTTTGGTGTATTGACTTAAAGATACTAAAGCCCATATATGTGTTTGCATTCTTTCCTATATTTATAAACAGGATAACCAGGAAGATGATCCCACCTTCCCACTAATAGATTCTAATGCGCAAATGCAGATTCGAAAGCGGATTGTACTTGAAAGGCTAAGAAAAGTGTAAGTATTTTTCTTATGGAGTGAGGTGAAATAGAGCAAACATGTTCTGGACTTCATTAATCAGCACTTGATATAACAAACACATTCTGAAAGTGTTCTGTGATCTGTACGGACTAGTTGTTTCTGTATGGAACTTAATATGTAGGTTAAAAACATTAGTCCTTAAATAGAATCAAGTTATTTTTGAGATATTTGTGTCTGATATAGCTGCACTGGTTGTGAATAAAGACAGTCAACCTGACAACCCTTTCAGTTAAAAGTGAAGGGCCAATTGGTAGGACACACTCTAAAAGGAGCTTCCCCTTTTTTTAAGAGCAGTATAGCTCATAATTGTTACGTTTTCAGTTGGGTGTGCTGCTGCTCCCACTGGTTGGAGGAAGACACAAATGTGGCAGTGTGATTGGCATTTTTTATATATGTTGTGGGATGTAATATTTGTTATTGTAAAGTCACATGGTGCTTAAATCAGGAATTGTTTTACCTTGAAAACTAGTTAATTTCTTTTATTTTCTTTAAAACAGTTTCTTATGAATCTGAAAATGTAAAATATTTCTATTAATTTTAGTGCACCAACACTTAAAGATCAGTCAAAGTTTTGTAGAACTCAAAGCTGTTTGAGGTAGGCATAGTGTCTTTGTCCTGCACAGCACACCATATATTGTTGTCATCAAATCAGCAGTGCTTTAAAAACTGTTAAGTAGTTCAAGCAAACTCTTGCTAAAACAATTTCTAATATGAATATGGATGGTTCGTGTGGATGGGATTCACTTTATTTTTATTTTTTAAATAACTTTTCCTTCCTGTACTAGCTGTAGGCAGCCAAACTACATTAAAGCCTGCTTGATTCTTAAAACTATTTCCAAGCATCAGTCCCTGCTCAATCTACATAGATTCATTGCATCTGAAAGAAGAAAGTGTGTAACTGTCAAGGCTCTATATATCATGACATTTAAAAGGGTTAGACTAACAAGGTTTAAGACCATTTAAAAACTCCCTCTTGCAATTATCTAACAGTTCCTAGGCAATGCAGATGAGGAATAATAATATTCATTTAATGACTGTAGCTGAGGGCCCTTATTCAAAATATATGAAGAAGGTATAGTAATATTTCTTTTCACTCCGTGTCAGTACTGATGGGGTATAAACATGCAATCAGACTGCTTGTAGCAAAAACTGATAAATATTAACCAGTGATCCTTTAAAGTCTGAACTACAGACATCCTAAAATACCTGCTACCAAGAACAGTTGGAAATAATAGTATTGGATTATCAATCCATGTTTTTTTCTTAAGTTTTTTTTGTGCGCTTATTTGTACTGAAGCTCCCAGTTAATTTAATTTGATTGTTTTTTGTGTTTTTTGTATGAGAGAGGGGAAGGGAGAGAAGGGATGAAATACCTCCTTTTTTTCTTAATTTTTTTAACAATTTTTGTCCCTGACAAATGTAAAGTTTGTCGTAGAGTGGATCCTTGACAGTAGCCTAGATAGTTCCTAAAAGACTTGTCTGCTCAATGGACAGCCATAGTAGGAACAAAAACCCCAAAACAGAATAGAGAATAATACAGAAAATACTGCAGAGCCCTTGAATAGATTGTACTTTATCTGGAATGCTGTGTACAAGATTGGTCTTCCCACCTCAAAAAGCACATTATAACATTGGAGTGGGTGCTGTCATGGGAAATAAAGATAATGAGTGCAATTTCTATCATATGAAGAGACTGAAAGTGTGATAATTCTCCTTAGAAAAGTGATAAATGAGAAATGACATGATAAAACTATACAAAAGAAGTGGTAAAGAGAACGTAGTTCAGGAATTTCTGCTCTTCCTGTATTTTAACTCCGGATGGGGGGCAGACACTATCCAGTTGTATTGAAAAACTGATGCTTCCAACACAATGTATATGGACCATGGGGGACACTGCTATGTGGTATCATAGAAGTAGCAGCAAGATGCAAAGAGACATTAGATATTTATGTGGATAGCCAGGATGTTCATTTGGTGCTAAACTTCCGTAAGAGATAAGAGAAAAAATCATTCTCCAGGTATAAGCCACTATCTATTTGAGGTCAGAATAAGACTTAAATGGTAATACTGTAAGGTTTCCTGAACATTTGCCTGAATCATCTGCTGCTGGTGACTGTTAAAGACACAAGATTGAACTCATTGGGTTAGCTATTTCCTGGGCCAGTATGATGACCCTTATTCAGGGAAGATTAATTTTTTTTAAATAGTTGAAGAGAAATGCATTTCACAATTTCTCATTCAAAGCTGTAACTTTGATGCCTCAAATTTAACTTCTAAATCTGTATTTAGGCACCTGCATAAATGGCCATTTGAGCCTCACTTCTCTAAGAAAACAGAATAACCCTTGTACAACCACATATTTCACTGGAGGCAATGGTGGTTTGGATGTTCAACTCCCTTTAAAAAAAGCAGGCTACTTCTGGTTTGTAAAAATTGCAAGATGCAATAGATAGCAGAAGTCCTGGCTCTTGTATCATTTATGCTGCATTATGTTGTAACGTAAACACATATCAGAATCAGAATCTTGCTTTAATGCTGCTTTCTCTGGCTCCAAGTTGCATTATAAATGTAGTCATTATCATGAATAAGGTTTTTTTGCTGGGTAGTTCTTAACAGGAATACTTTACTCTGAAGTAGAGGTTTTTGAGATGTTGAATGGTTTAAAAAAAAAGAACTGAGGAATGCTTTGATGCAAGAGAATGTTAATCTCCTAAAAGTACAATAAAACTGACATGCAAGCTTTGTCCCCAACTAAAATACTATAGTTCTAACATACAGTGATACCAGCTTCTTGGGAACCTGACCATTGTACCAATATCCTAATTACTAACCTAGGTATAATAATGTTGTACCAAACTCTGTGTACAAAGTAGCTCACCTTCATATCTCACTGTTGTTTGTTTTCAGATTGCTTTATTGCACTAGTACCAGCTTGACTTCCAACTACCAGCATAAAAATTGATTGTCTATGCCTTTTTTTTCTTCTTCCTGTTTTTCATCATGTGATATTAAATTATTAAGACTGTTCTCTGCACCCAGATAATTCAGTTGTATCTTCCTCTTCTGAACCTAAATAACCCTATGAAAACAGATACTACTTGCTCACCCACTAAATCATGATAAGGTTATAAGGTGGGTGCTAAAGTTTTAATTTTATGAGAAGTACAAATGCCATTTCTCTTTTGAGCAGATACCTCCTCAATATCATATATCTTGTATATTAAATTATTACTATTAAAGTATTAGATTATTATTACATTATTGAATCAAATCTCTTATAGTTAAATTATTTCACTGTCTAAATCTAAAATAATATTTGAAATAGTTATGACCTTTTAGATTCCAGTCCTCCCTGTTGCAAACAGAATTGCTTTTGTAAAAACGTCTTGATGTAATGGAAATTTGAACTTAATTTGTAGAATGTAGCTGCTAAACAGCAGGTATATTGTATTCTTTGTATTTGCACTAACTTTCACTTGTGTTGTTAAGTACTAAATACCTCCTCTAATGGGTGAATCTGAAAGGTAGACTTACAGGCCTGATCTAAAGGACAGAGAAGACAATGAAAGTCCCTATCTTGACTTCAGTAAGCTTTGGATGAGGCCCTATTCAGGAGAAAATGCTTGTTGATAGGAAAATCTTACAACAAATATCCTTTTCCTTTAGATTGCCTGCAGTGCTGGGCCCTCTTCAGATTACATTAGGTGAAGTTTACACGGAATTGAAAAGTCTTGTCTCAACTTTTAGGTAAGTGTTGGTTTCTAGGGATTTTTCCTGGTTAAGTTCCAGTTACTGTATCCACAAATAAAGCACAGAGGGGCCCACTGAAGATTTGCCGAATTCCTGCAGCAGGTCAATGTAGGTAATTCCCAGTGGACTGACAAGACAGCCCCATCACCTGCTTTTCTGACTGTGTGGGGGTCAGCAGGAGCATTTATATTTTTAAAAAAGTAGGCCAGTGGACTCTAGAGAATGGCAATGAGTCCTTTAAAGACACTACCATGCTGTCACCTCCTATCAAATATGGACTTCTGAGACCTGTCACTTTCCCTTCCTCAGTGCCTGCTGTAGCTAAGCTAAGTGGTGTTTAATGTGATTAATTCTGGTTACCATCAGCTCCCTGAACTAAGAAAATCAAGCTTGGCCCTTCCTGCTCCTGACTGAAGGGGAAAAGACAGGGAATAGAGCAAAGATCCATATAATTCATCACAAAGAGGTCTGTAGTCTGAAGTCTTTCTCCTTGGTCCCATTGAGCTTAGCAGCCTGAAGCATTGACAAAAGGCAACAACGCTAACAACAAATAGGAGATAGGGTGATAATAACTTAGTCATTGTACATGTCACAAGTTCTTTACTGCCTCAACATAGTCCCCACGCTATGTGTGCCAGCAAGGAGTAATGGCAATTACTAGTTACCATATTGTCTTGCATATTACCTGCACATTCCACACCACAACCAGCTGGGGAAAATTGGGGTGTGCATTTATACAAGGAAAGGGGCTTCTCACAGCTCCAGAAATTTGGACGGTTGGTGGAGCGGTGGCAGCATTAATTACTGCAGCTCTGGGACTCTGAAGTAAGAGACTGGGTCCGGCTGAGCAAGTGACTGCAGTTAGTGTGTGGACCCAGATTCAGCATGCCACCCAGTCCTGGATCAGGCTGCACTGCATGGCCTGTTGCCAGCGTACTAGGTCAAGTCCCAGCATACAGTCCCCAGCCCCAGAAACCCCAGACCTCTGGTACTTACCCATAAACTCCAAGGTCGGGCTTTTTTTTTCCCTTGGGGTGCTCCCAAAGTAGGTTGCTTGTTATATTCGGGTGGTGTTTTACTTGATAAAATGCAGTATATGTAGCTTAGCACTGTTTCCAGACATTTTTAAATTTTTGTTCATTTGTTGTGCTGAACGGCCAAAAAAAGGTTTTAAAAGAGTTTTTCTCATGTTAATTCATTTGGCCAAAGGGATTATTGCTTTGGTAAGTATAAGGCCAATTCAGCTTAAACTCTGATGTTTTATTTGACATCTTCAGAAATCATGTAAGAAATAGAGATAAGTAGTACAGTTCTCTAAATATGGAATCTTTTGTATGTGAAGGAAGAGGGTATAAGATTTTGTTTGTTTGAATAAAAATTTTTAAATAAATCCCTATTTTTAAAGGATTTTTTTTTATTAACTTTGTGCCTATATGGCTATATTTACATACTTTTTAATTATCTAGGTTTATAGACAAGCATTGAAGTCTTCTTAGTCTGCTTGAAATCTCTAGAATGGTGAAACTGGTAAAGATTATACATAATGGATTCTAGCCAGTGCTACTTATAGCCAGATAGTTAACTGTATGAAAAGCAAAAACGGGAGCCCTTAAGCAGAATTTTGTTTTAAGCTTTACTAGCCATTCAAACAAGAATGAGGCCACATCAGGCATATGGGAAGGACCCATTATAAAAGTGTCTAGGCACCAAAATAGACTACTTAAAAAAAAAATAGCTGAAAACAAATTGACCGAGTTCAGCTCTAGCTGGTTAGGACTTTTACACAGATATGTTACTATCTTCATTATTATTTGTTAAGCCATAGTGATAGATAATTCAAGTGAGCCTGTTGTCATATTAAATATGCTCCCCCAATATATTTTGCAGCACCCTAACAGTGATGCAATTCTCAGATATGGTTCTGTTTAGTTTCAGTGCTTTCTTGTTAAGTGGTTTAAATACTGCTTGTCATTTTATTTTAACATTGAACCTTTTTTTGCAGTATCTCTTGTTAAGGGGTAAGTTGAAGGCTACTGGTGGCAAATTTGATGTGGCTTTAATTTGTCAGTTTGCCTGGCAGTTGGTTTTGTTTAATTATATTTTGGGGATCACTTATTTTTTGGTATTTGAAATGTTATTGTAGGGATCTATGAGTAGATACTTAATGTAAATATTTGGGATTTACTTTGTTACCGCTGATAGCAAGATTACAGAAAACTAGAAATATGGGATGGGGTCAGATTCTCTGTCTTTTATTCAGAAGTCACTAGAATCAATTCAGTCAGGTCTAAATTTCCCTTCTACCTTTGTCCTATTGCCCGTTAAAGGCAGGAAAAATGTCTTAGGCTTTCCCCTTCTGATGCAGTAGAATCTGCTGGCAAATGCTACCTTTGTGACTATTAGTCTAAAAATCTATGGTCACTGATATCAAGGGCCCATTGCTATAATGACTAATGTACCAACTTAAATTAACTCACAAGAGTTGTTTAATTAATTTCGCAGTGAATACTCAGTAGTGGGGGGTGAGGAAACAAAATTAAATATATAGTTGTGTTCACAGGGTTCAGGGCTTTAAATGCCACCAAGTATTTTAATAGGATTGAAATGCTAAATAAATATGGGGACAGCACTGACAGATAAATCTTTTCTGCTTTATGTGCTGGAAGATCTTCAGGCTGAGAATTTACTGAGGACCCATCATAGGGGGATAAAACATGGTCAGAATATAGAAGAGTCCAGCTAAATTCAGTAGTTAGACTGAAAGGATAAAAGAGCATGTGGTGAACTAAGCAACAACAATTTTCAGCTCCATTGGTTTTTAAAGAAACACTTGCAGTTCAGCCTCCTTTGGGCAGCATTTTATTCAATCACCACTGCTGGGAAACACACTAAAGAGATCTCGGGAGACATTTTAGAATGGTTATAGCTCTTCCCAAGTAAAGTCCCTCAGTGCCTGTAAGCTTTTGTTACGAAAACTGAGATGTCAAACAACTCTCCAGAGTCTGTAAGGGCACTTTAAAGATCAAGAGAAAATTAGATATTCATTTATCCTAGATTTCTGTATAAATAAGATAATGAATGTGATTTTAAAAAATGATATTTTAAAGAATAATACTTTTTATTCAAAATTGACTGTTGTGGCTAATAGAAGAATATATTTGAAAGTTCTTTTAGAAGCTGCCTTTGACTTCAAAATTTCTTCCTTTCTGAATTTGTCAAAATTCTGAGCTAAAAATGTTTACATGGTCTTTTTTAAGATGGTTCTATCTGGCGTTCCTCTAAAGCTTTGTCTTGGCTAGATTCACAGCAGGATGCAAGCATGTTAGCTCATGTATGTGAGTCAACACGCTTGAGCTGAAGTTTATCTTCCTCCCCTAGGTTTCAGCTTGACCAGAAAGCATATGTTAAGTGTATACTCCCTGTTTTAAAACATGTTGGCTAATGTGTTCAAACACAGATTTTAAAATAATTAAGACAAGCCCTTCATTCTAAATTTGCCAAACAGGGATCTCAATCCTGCAGTGAGATGCTCGAGTATAGACCTGCAGCTTAAAGAAATGTCACCCAAGTCAGTGGCTTTGCTTTTTAAACCTAGTCAGGATAGATAAGACAAGGAAAACTGCCTTCTTACATGTTCTGAGTTGATCAGTTTCAGACCTAGAAAAGTGTCTGTGCTTAGCATCAGTATGTGGTAAAGTACAGGTTCCCTGCTCTTGAATACAAATAGTTAGGCTGAGCTATTGAATAGCATCTGACATTGCATCTTTAGATCCTAGCCAAGATACTGCTAGCGGGACTCCCTTCACACAGACAGCAGGCCTACAGTAGTAGGTCATACTGTAGATTTGGAACTATAGGTGCCTTAACTTAAATGCACCTGGTTTGATTTGCAGAGTTGCTGAATGCTTACACCTTTCACTTCAGTAAAGTATGCAAAATAATGAATAATACTGAAAAAGGAAATCGGAGACATCTTTCTTTTTACAGTTTTTCCATTATGCAAGAGAAAAAGAATGCTTTGCAAATGGAAAAGCAGCAAATGGAAAAATTATAAAGGAATATTTTTTCACCCAGTACATAATTGGCTTAGAGGATTCATTGCCACAAAAAACATCAAGACCAAGTGCTTAGTAGGGTTTTAAAAACCATATTTGACACTGCTATAGATTGTGCAGGCCGGGAGTGCCCCGAGCCCTTTTTCGCGCTGCACGCGGGCTGTGGCCAGCAGCCCGGGCACGCAGGGGCGGAGAGGGAAGGCCTTCGCTCTGGAATTAGGCACGGACGCGTATCGGTAGTTTAAAAGATTGTTTACTTACACCGAGATGGCAGTGGTGTAGGCTGGAAAGCTTGATTAAGTTGCAGTTACAGACAGACACAACACAGACAGTCTCGTGGAGGTTGCTAGGCTCCACGGTGCAGAGCTCCGGATGCTCTGGGTGAACAGGCCACCAATGTAGAAATCATAAATACGTCTTATATTAGTCGCGCTCGAAGACGGGAAGAGGTGGGCGGTGGATCAGGCCGCCACGCTCCTCTGGATCTCACACAGGGTTTCCATTACCCTGCCGTGTACCCAGAGTCCCCACGAGATGGATGTGGAGTCCTCTTTGGCTTGGGCGGAAACTGCTCAAGCCTCAACTCTTTTGCACCGTGCATTCCTCTTGCAACTCGAGCAATGCACTCTGCAAAAGAAGCTGCAGAAAAGGCGGGAAACTGGTCCCTGCACCGGAGTTTCCTCTTGCTACAGGAAATTCCCGTGCAATGCTCTGCAACTTAACGTGGATAATTCTGATGCCGAAGCGCGCACACACAATCATGCCTTTTGGGTCATGACAAACCTTAATGTGAGTAACTTTATTATTATTATTATTATTATTATTATTATTATTACAACAACAATAATAATAATACATTTTTATTTCATTCCTTGTTCCCAAAGTTGAAGTTACTTTATGGGGTGTAGAAGGAAAAACTGAAGACAGAGCTTAGCACCTTCT